ACTTAGGTGGAGAGGGTTGTTTGCGTGGGTGAATAAAGTTGGTCATTGCACCAAAGCAATGTCCAAGCTCCACCACCACCCCACTGAGAAAAACTCCAAGGCATCACGTTGATGGCATTGGTCACAATCTTGGCCTAAAAAAAGGGCTTCTGTCTGCCCATACCAAATCACAAAAAAAAGAAGATGAAAGAAATAAAGAAAAGAAAAGAGGCCTGTCACCTTTCTCTATCCTTTTCATTGCTGTAAAATAAGGCCACTTTCTAAACATTTAGTAATTCTTGACTTCACTTTACATATCATCAATGCAGGATAAAAGGCAAAAATTATTTAGTAGCCACTTTGTGGCCATTACCATAATTGGTTGTGGTGGCTAAAATGACAATTTGGCCATTTTCAAGAGAATATTTTATGGGAAAAAACGATCGAATAATGACATTCAATTTTCTATTGCACTTGTTGTTGTGCATTTGCTTCGAAAATCAGCAAAAAACACTAAACAAAATGGCTTTATAGCCTTTGTTAGTGCAACTGTGGTCTAAAAATTTATTTAAAACCTCACACATATATACATTTTAAAGAATTGATCATCAACGATATTAAAACCACACACATATATACATCTTGAAGTGTCTTTTGATGAACCTGGACGGAATATCAACAATATTGAAAAGCGAGTTAACTACTGCAAGTAGTGTAGGATTCTTACAAACCTCGTTTGGTGAATGATTAATTCCTTATAAAATACTTTCTTCAAGAAAAAAAAAGAAGTGTGCATACAAAATATGCACTTCCACACAGCAAAACAAATATCATCAACCATCATTTAAGATATTTATACAAAATACTAACGATTTAAGTCCTCAAAAAAAAATTAAAAAAAAATCTTTAGTTTAGCTTCTAATATCACCTGCTCGATCATATAACTATACCCACAGGAACACCTGTAGAAACAAATTATATTGTCGTTAAGGTTTGTTTTACTTGAAATCTATGATTCAAATCATAACAATTGAATTTTGATATATTGGTCATTACACACTCTTTTGTCATTTTCTGTTCGTAATTATTTATTTCCATAATCAAGTTGTAAACATCATAATAGTTATGACATCTAAATGTTCTAGCTAAAATCTATCTGGCATATCAAGAAATTGAATAGCAACCACACATAAAATTTGCAAAGCAAATGTAAGCAAATGAACATAATTTGAACTGAAAAGATGCCATAAAAGTAATCCACCGCTTCACACCTCAGGCTTTAGAAACTGCCCCTTTTTGAAAATATTATATCCCCAATTTTGGCTGCCATTTGATCTCTACTAATATCAGACAACTAATACTAGGAAAAATAACTTGCTCCTCCTGCGCGCGCCTATCAGTATGGAGCGAATTAGTCTTTGAATATGTTGGTTAGACCACTGACATTGACGTAATTAGGCATAACTAAACTAATTCGCAAATGACGGGGCACCGTGTGCTATTTGAAATAGTAGAGTGACTTGCATAATAAATACATTAATTCTATGTACTGATTGATGTATTATGCATCTACTGATATAACTAACTCCACATGGTACCTGTTCATGCGACTTGAGATTCGAAGATAGGAGATAGGTCGGTTGTACTCCACGCGTACGGTTTAGGGGAAGATAGGGGATGGACCTCTAAACCGGATTTTGTGTGACATTGATACAGCGCTACAATGTGTATCAAGTGTTGATTATGGAAGTGTTTGAATTGATTTGATATAGCACTAAAATGTATATCGTTATCAATTGTGAAGTATAGAAGTGATTCTATGTTATGTTGATACAGCACCAAAATTTGTATCTTTTGCAAAGTGTGGGAATGGTTTATGTGTTATTGAGACAACATTAATATGTGTATCCCTCATGAATTTCGCAAGTGTTTTAAAGATGAGTCTAAATCTCATTAAGTTATCTGGCTAGGTGTTGAGCCTTGTTTTCAAACTCAAAGTTGGAAAAGGCATGGGAAATGTAATGTAACATGGACTTATTGTCATGAAACCGAAATGTGATATATGTGGATGTATCTGTGTTGGCCATCTATCAACTGCTAATCTTTTAGTCATTGTTCATAGCTGGTTTAGTGTATTTCTACTAGGCTGTGGCTCACCCTTTATGGGACACCATTTTCAGGTACAGGTAGCATGCCACCTCCAAGGACGTAGCTTGGGAGGCAAGAGGCAGTCAGGCTTTTGCCGTTTTGTGATCTTTTGGATGTATTACATGTAAATTCAAACCAAGGGCTTAATGTATAGTTGAGTTAGTACTCCTATTTTGTAACCAAGTGTTAACTTGGAAAGCTGTAAGCCCGTAGGGCATTTGCCTTTTGTTGTTAACATGTAACACTCATTGTAAAGAGCTACTCTGATGAACGGAAGAATATTTATCTTTTATACCAATGCATGTCTAAATTGATGGGTTTTAATGTTATTTTTTTGAGGGCATTACATGCTGGAACTGAATTTAAAAGGAAATTTGTCTTATACATCATTGGAGCCCTCTTGTGCCCCACCACAAAGGCAGGCGTACACCAATCATTCATTCAAATGGTTAAAAATGTTGAGTCCATTAGTCAATTCAATTGGGCAAAGCACACACTTGATTTTCTTGTCGACCGCATTGCTATTGCCAAGGTCAAAGGGCGGTCTGCTATGTGCGGCTGTTTGCTTGTTCTAATGGTACCTCCCCTTGATGTGTAATTATTTCATCTATTATTTTTTATTGCATATTGTCTAACACACATTAAAATGACTTCTTTTTTTTCTTTTTTTTTCCATGTAGTTATTTTACTTGGAACAATTTGCTCACAAAAGGGAGTTGGCGGCTACTTCCAACTCCATTCCTCGCTTATCCTTTTGGGGCAATTCAGAAATTAAGTAGGGTTTGAATCAAATTAAAGCTTCGGGAGGATATTTAAATGTTGAGGTAAATATTTACAACACATGACTTTTTATAATTATAGCTCAATTTACATTACACCTGTGACATTAACAAGTTATTGTATATGCGTGAATAGGTGGCTTTGCCTAACATTGTTGAAAAGTCCAATGTAGTAACTCTTAGCCAGGGAAGAATTGACAACAATGATAACACCCGATTGGCTAAAGTTGAGAAACAAGTCATTGAAATTCATGCCCTTTTGGTCCAAGGCCACAAGGACACAAGGCAAGATGAGGATAAGAAACGTCTAACCAAAGTGGAGAATCAAGTTGAAAAAATTCTTGAGCTGTTAGAAAAACGCATGCCAGTTGATGGAGAACAAGTTAAAACACCACCAAGCAAACTACTTGCGGAGCAGCGACTGGTCAAAATGGAGAACCAAGTTGGTCAAATTCTTGAGTTGTTAGAACGACGCATTCCATTTGATGGTGGACATGTTAAAACACCACCAAGCAAACTACATGAGGAGCATCGAATTGACATTGAAATGGTTGGTCTCGATGTTAGTGGTATCGAAAAGGTTGCAGCCAATTCCCCGAAGTTTGTAGATGAGGATGAGATAAGGAATATGAATGACAAAGAACCAATGGAAACTTTGCGTTTGAGAAAAACAAAACCAATCCTCACACCACCAAATGCAAAGGCAGTTGCAAAGAAACGAGCCAAATTGGTGGTGGGAAAGCATTAAATAATGAACAACTTTCTATTCCACAAAAAGGGCCATCACGCGCAAAAAAGAGCGATACAAAGGCGGTTGAAGTGAATGTTGTAACAATGTCATCATCATGTAGTGTTGTTCGTGGTCCTCAGACTCGAGGGACCCAGAATTGCAAAGCCAGTCTGTGGTTGCGTACACCTTTTGTGAAATTTGATGTAATGAAGAAAAGACCACAGTTGAAGCCATCGTCAACTGACAACAACGTTGAGAATAATATTCATGACAATCTCGATCAAGTAAACTAAATGATTGTGTCTCAAAACATATTTGATTTATGTGTAACAAATAGTGTTTGTTTCTTACTTTTCTTTTACTTGTATCAGCTATTTGATAATTTACTTGATCAACTTGGGGGTAATGTTGTTCCTGAAATCCCAAAGGTTTGGAACTAACTATTATAGTATCTTTTGTATATGTGTTTATTTTGCGCTAACTCCTTCTTCATGAACATACACTAACCAAGCTTGATTTGTTTTATGCACTATTCTTCTCAATACCTTTACAAGTCATCAGTGCCTTTGCCAGACCCATTAAATGACTATGACAGTCTCGTTCTACGATATGCATTTGATGAATCTCTTCCAGAAGGGTACAATTTGACTACCTTTAACTTGTTATGTATAAAGTACTATACCTTCTAACTCACATAGTTATCCATGTGCTAGGGAATATCTTGTACGGATGAAACTACACTACGTGGAAGCACAATCTGCAACGCGGAAGGAATTGTGGTCCTTGAAACCATATCAGTGGATATCCTCATGTGTAAGACTTTTCTCCTTCTCCTATTTTATTTGCTACCATTCCATCATCCAAGTTACTTTACTTTGCCTATTCATAAATTTCATATATTTTGCACTGTAGATTATAAATCTCATTGTTGTGAAATTGACAAATAAACAAAGGAAAAAGTTTCCAAATAAGGATCACATGGTTTGGTACTTTCCGACCCATGTATCGGTAAGTATTATCCATACCTAAAGACTTTTTTTATTTAGGCACAAGTTATTTATATGTTAAAATTGAATATGCAGCAAAAGATTTTGTGTCAACCTTCTGATGACATAATGAAAGATATAGTAGAAGATTATTTTGGAATTTACAGATACACTGGCCCCCATCATGCTTGTGAGGAGGTAACATGACAAAATATTACTATTACCTAATTTCCAAATTTACCATGCACAATAACATTTGATCCATGTTATGTATTTATTTATTTTTTTGCATGTACATTCGACGTTATATTTTTAGATTTACATGCCCTTCAACCATGGGGAAAACCACTGGTTGTGCATGAATGTAAACATGGAAAAACGGGTTGCCTATCTATTCGACTCCAGCAGATGTATTGACACCGATGAGGATCGAAAAAATCAAGCTACATTATTGGTAATAGAATAACCATTATGATACCACTTGTATCCACTTTTTTGTTTCTTGATCTATGTACCTTACTACCTACCACCAACAGGTACAATCATTGCATAAGCTGCTTCAATATGCGCATGGAGAAGATTATGTTCAAGATGTTAGTTCGTTTGCATTTCAATGGTTGAAAGACATGCCACGCCAAGACAACAGGTAATACACTACATTATCGTTCTTAATTTTTAAACAAGCATTAATGTTATAATCTCTAAGTTCATTGACTCTATTGTTACAACTACACTCATTCCTATAGCTATGATTGTGGTCTTTTCGTCATCAAATATATGCAAGGGAAACCTTTGCCTTCGGGTGTAATCAAGGTACTTACATTTATACCCAACTGTCCACTTATCAGTATCTTATGTTTTGTGAAGACTAATTTTATAATGTGTGATGTTTTTACGTACTCACTACTTTTGGCATGTAGTTTGACTATTTGCATAGGGCTCGCTTGTTACTTGATCTTGTGATATACAAGCATAATTCAGCTCCTATTGTTGGTGATATCGCGCAATATAAAGCTAGTGATGCTCTATTCTTTTTTATTTTTCATAAGTTCGTACAATCAATGACGTTATCGCGTTTCTTAAACTCGTGAACTTTGAGTTTATAACTCAACCTTTGTTATAAAATTATATTCTCAAGTGTTCTATCTTGTGCAGAACTCAGAGCTAGGGGTGAATTGAAATAGAAGTAGAGGCCATACGACTTTTGTGATCTTGAAAGAAGGAAAGATAGTGGATAAGGTTATGGGAGCGAACAAAGACGAGTTTGGTATGTCTGTTTTGAAATACTTAAACTAGCATGAGTTTTGCAGATCTTATTGATGTTTGGAATGGATGGAGGCATTATCAATACATCATTACCAACTTCATACTGACTTTGTTGGTCATTTTATTAAGATAGTGCCAACCACTATTTATAGGATAAAAGACACTATAAGAAAAAGAGGATACAACGACATTTTTTTTTATGACATTTTTCAAAAACGTTGTGAAATCTGTCCAGATTTTTCAGATTTGTAATGTAGCCTAGGGGTGTTGACTTTTCCAATTTGTCAAATTATACTTAATAATTTTTGTACCTTCATCTTGTCTACTTCTCTGGGATAGTTGTTGTACAAACAAATATGAGTTTGCTCAGTTAAAGATACAATTTTTTTGCTACATCCTCTATCGTTCATTTTTGTTTTACTTTACTAAGTGCTTTGAGATGGCATTGTTGTAGGCTTCTTGCGGGTCTGGGAGCAGCCAAGACAGGAATATGAGAAGCCGTTTGAGATGGTTGGTGCATCTATTATGCTCTGCCTTTTATCCATTCCCTACTATTCAAATTTTTTTTTTCTGGCCATCCATCCCACAAGTTTTCAAGACCTTGACTGCTTTTTACTATTCAACAGAATCTTTAAATGGAAGGAATCAGTGAATTTGGTTATACCTTTTGAAAGTTATTTTATTACTTTTAATAGCTAAACTTTGCTTCTTTTTTTTTTTGTGTGGAAGAAAAGAATATTTTTTAAAATACCAATTATGAAGTAGCTTAATTTTTATTGAAATTTCTAGTGAAAAATCAATGAGTTGTTTGTTGCTCAAGTATTGTTAGGTTGAACAAGCTGTCTTACAATCCATTTTGTGCTTGTGTATGAAGGTAGATCCTGTTGTACATGGCTGTTTAACTAGTTGTCAGCCTTTGAATTAATTTTTGATCAAAACAGAGAATATAAAAGCTCTTAGAGCAAAGAATTGGGAGGATAGAGCCTACAATGATGGATTGATACTTTGTGCTTGAGTAAAGTGGAATGAGATCAAATTGAGATCCATAGTTGTGAGCCTTTGGCTTGCTGTATGTATTTAGACTGGTTTTGAAGGATATTTGGACTGCAAATGACTAATTTTGTTTAAGAGGGGCTTTATATACTTTCTTTAGTTGAAAATGTACTTGTCTCATTTTATGGTCACGTGGATATATAGACATTATGGATTTTCATGAAAACTGGTTTCAGGTGTTTTTTATTCTGTTTTTGTAGGGAGCAAATGATGTAGAATAGAAGACAAACCTAGCAGCTATCATTGTGGTGACAAAGGAAGATAAATAATTGGCAATTTCTCAGCATAGAAATGAGCCCAGATGGAGGTCACTTGAGCAGAGGATGTAAGTAGCTCTGCTAGGAGTAGCACTTGGGAGTCTCTTCACTTGAGCAGACATTTTTTGTAATAGTTGTTCTGTTTAGTCTCTGCTAATACCACTTGGGAGTCAGTTTTGTAAGATGCTTACCTTTTTAATAGTTGTCGCTGTTTGTTCATCTTTGAAGGTTGTAATTGTTAAAACAGCTTATGGGTTTATGTGCAAATTTTTTGGCAAATGAATTCTTTTAAATGTTGTTCATCTCATACTGATGAGAGCTACTCTTGAGGTTTAAGTAATTTGATTTCTTCTTGACCATTTTGATTTTAATTGATGTATTTAAAATTTGAACATGAATTGTTTCTATTCTTGGGTATGCAATGCATTGTTTTTTATTTTTAATTTTGATTTCAAGCTTTAGTTTATTTATTAATTTAATATACATCAATTATTAGTTCTTAATAATCGTTTATGATAGGTATAAAAATCTATCGCTATAATTAAATGTTAGGCTTAGCACAATTAAAAAGAAAAGAAAAGGCTATGGCGGCGTTTTTTAAACGTACCTATATCCCAGCCCCAACGATTAGATTTTTAAAATGTATAAATATCTATGACGGTTAATTATAATTTTTAATTTGTTTTGATAGAAAATGAATACATGTGTCATGTTTTCATAATAAAAATATAAATTTATTCAACTTAGGTGGGAGAGGGTTGTTTGCGTGGGTGAATAAAGTTGGTCATTGCACCAAAGCACTGTCCAAGCCTCCACCACCACCCCACTGAGAAAAACTCCAAGGCATCACGTGATGGCATTGGTCACAATCTTGGCCTAAAAAAGGGCTTCTGTCTGCCCATCCAAATCACAAAAAAAGAAGATGAAAGAAATAAAGAAAAGAAAGAGGGCCTGTCACCTTTCTCTATCCTTTTCATTGCTGTAAAATAAGGCCACTTTCTAAACATTTAGTAATTCTTGACTTCACTTTACATATCATCAATGCAGGATAAAAGGCAAAAATTATTTAGTAGCCACTTTGTGGCATTACCATAATGGTTGTGGTGGCTAAAATGACAATTTGGCCATTTTCAAGAGAATATTTTATGGGAAAAAACGATCGAATAATGACATTCAATTTTCTATATGCACTTGTTGTTGTGCATTTGCTTCGAAAATCAGCAAAAACACTAAACAAAATGGCTTTATAGCCTTTGTTAGTGCAACTGTGGTCTAAAATTTATATTAAAACCTCACACATATATACATTTTAAAGAATTGATCCATCAACGATATTAAAACCACACACATATATACATCTTGAAGTGTCTTTTGATGAACCTGGACGGAATATCAACAATATTGAAAAGCGAGTTACTACTGCAAGGTAGTGTAGGATTTCTTACAACCTCGTTTGGTGAATGATAATTCCTTATAAAATACTTTCTTCAAGAAAAAAAAGAAGTGTGCATACAAAATATGCACTTCCACACAGCAAAACAAATATCCATCAACCATCATTTAAGAGTATTTATACAAAATACTAACAGATTTAAGTCCTCAAAAAAAAAATTAAAAAAAAATCTTAGTTTAGCTTCTAATATCACCTGCTCGATCATATCAACTATTACCCACAGCAACACCTGTAGAAACAAATTATATTGTCGTTAAGGTTTGTTTACTTGAAATCTATGATTCAAATCATAACAAATTGAATTTTGATATATTGGTCATTACACACTCTTTTGTCATTTTCTGTTCGTAAATTATTTATTTCCATAATCAAGTTGTAAACATCATAATCAGTTATGACATCTAAATGTTCTAGCTAAAATCTATCTTGGCATATCAAGAAATTAGAATTAAGCAACCACACATAAAATTTGCAAAGCAAATGTAAGCAAAATGAACATAATTTGAACTGAAAAGATGCCATAAAAGTAATCACCTAGAGACGTATCCGCATCAGTGAATGCTGAATTTTGGACAACTTGTGCATCGCAACTACGCAAGTCATTAACATCCTTACTCAACTGCACTGGAGACGTATCCACATTAGTGACAAAAAGTCGTCTCTTCACAGGGTGGATCTTACATGGCCTCATATTATTCCTGGGACGCTTCGGTGTAAAAGGGGTGGGAGTACCAATTGGATCATAATCATCGTATTCCTCAAACAAATTGCTACCCACTTGTCCCGTTTTATGATCGTTTTGGGGGCAAGTTCTCCTTGTGTGGCTGACGACCCTACATTGTCAAGTAAATCACCAATCATTAAAGAGAACAAAAATGCCAAGACTACCTCACAATAAAAAAATTAAGACACAAAGCACAATATAATGTATACCTGCAACATTGGCATCGCCTTGGCTTTCGAGGTTTAGCCATGTAGGATCCCCTAGTATTCCCCTTCGTGTTCACTACTTTCGGATCCCCAACCCCAAATGGTGGCAGCGAACTTTTTCCTTCATCAACATTAGTTCCCTTGACCATGCAAAGCTGCTTCATCCGACATGTCATAGTGAAAAATGCATTCCTAGCCTCTTCAAATCCTTCAAATGTTTGTGAGACATAGTAACACATTTCAGTAAAAAAAAAGAGCAAAGAACCCCAAAGCGTGTCTCCTGTGTGAGAGTGCTAGAGAATTGGGCTTGGCAATGTTGTTCACCAACCTTTCTTGCTTGCTTTGTCCAATGATGCATCACACAACTTGGGGGAATTTCAGTCATGTGTTCACATTTCATCACAGAAATCATGTGGCTGCAAGGAAGTCCAAAGAACTCAAACTTTTTGCAACTACATTTCATTATGCTAGTTGCGGGATGGTATGACACTTCCCATGTGGAACCAAATTCAGTCTACTTTGAAAATTTGTATATGCGATGATCGAACTCCTCTTTCCTTCCATCAAAAATCAACAATGCTTCCTCAATTATTTCATTACGGAACATTAAGAACAAACGTCTGGTAAAGATGGTTGCTGTATGTTTCTCTAGAGGCTGAAGTGCTGTGGTAAGACAAGGATCACTGTTGTCAGTTTTTGCCTCGGCATCCGCTTCTTTGTTCCGTAACCGATAAAGGGCCATGTCAAAACATCTAACAAATTCGAATAGTTTCAATTTTCGTTTGAGGCACTCATTGAAAAAAGCATTCATGCCCTCACAACGCTGACTGCTCTTCATTCCAGCAAAAAAATGACCACGCAAATATGACTAAGCCCACATGCCTTTGTTGTTGTAGGTGTCTGATACCCACTTGTTATTTTGAAGGCCATATTTTCTAACCATCTTACTCCAAGCTTCCTCAAATACAACCTCATTCGCATCAAGATCCATGAGATGCTTGAAATGTCCCTCGAATCCATCAACTCGAACATTTCGCTTGGCATTTCTGTGCATATGCCAATTACATAGACAATGCTTGGCACTTGGGAAGACTTTTTGTATTGCCTCACGCATGGCCATATCCCCATCTGTCAACACTGACACTGGTCTTTTGTTATCCATGGCCTCTAACAACTTTTGCAAAACCCATGTGTATGTTGCAATTGTCTCATCAACAAGCAAGCTGCATGCAAATATGGTGGTTTCAAAATGGTTATTGACCCCGGCAAAAATAACAAAAGGATTGTTATATGCATTTGTTTTATAAGTTGTATCGAAGACCAACATGTCACCAAATGCAGCATAGTCTAGGCGAGACCTTGAATCTGCCCAAAACAATTTGTCAAGCTGATTCTCTTAATCCTTGTCATACTTGTAAAAGAAGTAAGGATCAGAATCAGCTTTTGCACATAAGTAAGCCAAAGCACACTCCGCATCACCATCCTTCATTTCTACTTTGCGCTCGGCTTGAATATAATTGTGAAAATCCTTGTGAATAAAGCCCACATTCGTGAAAGACCCAGATTGTTGCACCAACAAATCCATTATCTGGCTTGTCTTGACACCAACATCGTGCAAAGTCTTGACTTGAGCTTTGTCGGGGATCTTTACAAACCTATGCGACCGAAGAAATGGCACACATGGTGATGTTGCCAATGGATGGTTATGTTCCATGTTAAAGTGAGTGACAATGTATTTGCCTACATCCAGATTGTACCTTATGCGGAAATGAGCATCACAACCAACTCTAGTCAATGCCCAGGCAGCTCTTTTCCGATCAATACAGGCCAAGTGTTGCTTTGCTCTTTGGCCTTGCCTTGAGCATACCCATTTTCTATTAAGAACCTTTGTTGCCTGCATTGTTCGCGTGTCTTTCTTAATGCTAAATCCCACAACTTTAGCATATTGATTATAGAAATCATTGGCATCCTCTTCTGAATTGAATTGCATTTGAAGAACATCATTCTTGGTTAAACTTTGAATAGGGTCATTTGCATGGGAACCTAATTCTTCTTTATTCCCACAAACTTCGTCATCTTCAAGCTTACGCTCAAATTTGGTACATCCAAAAGGATCCATGATAGCTACATCAAAAACAATACGAAAAGAATAACATTATCTTATAAAATGAATGAAAATTCCTAAAATCACATAAGAGAATTTTGTAAAAGAGCAAATAACAGACAAAAACAATAATAGAATAATGTACATAGATTAATGACATAGTTATTGAAAACATTCAATAACTTGCCATTAATGACATAGTTATTGAAAATCAAAATAAATAGAGAATGATTCTGTAATCAACAATCAAAATATTGGTTGATCAATAGAAACACAATAAAATAGAAACAAAGAAAAGGAAAAAGCAAATAAATAAAAATATATGGAGACTCATTAAGGCAATTCATTTGGGTTCTTTGGTATTTTTCTTAATTGACTTGGGTTATTTTTAGGTATTTGGATTGCTCTAAAACACACCCGCAAGTATAACTTTATACACTGTCCAACTTATAGCAAATAACTAATCAAACTTATAACTTTATAGCAAAGAATTAATAAAACAAATAAAAATAAAATGAATTTTATTTCGACTATATATAATGTTAGTAATTAGAATTCACAGAATTTTTTTGACTTATCCTCCTTGTATAAGTTAAGATCTATTCTTCAATATCACGGAACGTCTTTTTTTCTTAAGACTTCAATAAAAGATTATTTTGGAAAACAAGGAACAATTCATTATGAATTAAGACCTAAGAAACTTCGGAATTCTGGACTAAATCAATGGAAAAACTAGTTAAAAGGTCATTATCAATACCATTTATCTCAGATTAGATGGTCTAGATTAATAGCAGCAAAATGGAAAAATAGAATCAATAAATGTCGTACAATTCAAAATCAAGATTTAAACAAAGAGAATTCATATGAAAAAGACCTATTAATTCATTACAAAAAACAAAACGATTACGAAGTATATTCATTACCAAATCAAAATGAGAATTTTCAAAAATACTACAGATATAATCTTTTATCTTATAGATCTATTAATTATGAAAATAAGAGGGACCCATATATTTATGGATCACCATTCCAAGTAAATAAGAATCGAGAGAGTTCTTATAATTACAACACACATAAACATAGGGGCAAATTTTTTGATATACTAGGGGATATCCCTATCAAAAATTATTCAGGAAAAAGTGATATTATGTATATCCCTACCAAGCAAATTACTTTTTTTTAATATAAATGAAAATGGTAGTGAAAATAAAAACATCAATAGAAAGCAAAAGGAGGTTATACCCTCGAATGAAAAAAAAAATTTATACACGTGTTCAAATGAAAAGGAGGTTATCTGTCCAAAAATTTATCTATATGTTCAAATGTTATTTATCTGTACACATGTCACGTACTTTTCTAATTACTTGTCCAAATATCACCTAATTATACACGTGTCACCTATTTGTCCCACCTTACCGCTACCAACCATTGTTGCCAGCTACCGCCATCCGCCAGCCATTGGCAACTTTTTCAACAACTTTAGGAGTGATAAACGAACCAAACAACTTGAGCTCGACTTATGTTCAGCTCATTAAAAACTCATTCAAGCTCAGTTCGTTAAGTAAATAAGCCAAACTTGAATAGTCAATTGCTTGTTCGGCTCTGTTTGATGAATCTAAAACTACCAAACTACTTCAGTTCGGCTTGAGAAAAACTCATTTGTTATCGACTCGAAAATTTAACGAACCAAAGTTGAACAAATTTTAAAATTCGCTAAAGTTATCAAAGCAAGTTATAACAATCAACTGTTCAGCTCGTTTATTATCCCTAAAGAGGGTTTAAATAGGACTACAACTATTTGTCTTCTCATTTTACATCCCCTCCATACCTTATTCTCTCTACTACTTACAACACAATTTTGGAAGCAATTATTATATATGTAGAATCACTTGAAAATAAAATAAAATAAACACTCTAGAGGATTCATGCTTCGTCTGTGATGGGTGGCTGTAGGAAAAAATCTCAGTATAGAATTTTCAAATGTCTATCAAAATTAATGAATTTACTTGAACCAGACTCTCTTGTGATGTATTTGCCCTAGAGTTCTTTCTTTTCATACATGTACATTTCTCTACTCCCTCAAAATTATGTTTATTTTTGTCGTGGGTGAGAAGCAAAAGTATCAGTTCAGAATTTCCAGACATTTACATGGCATTCAACAAATTTGAGTTCAACCAAAAATGAATTCAATCTTTCTCTTGTGACATCATCTCCCTCTAAAAAAAAGACAGTACACCCACAAGTATCCTACTATCAATTAAAATAAACAAACAAACAAAATAAAAGCACACCTGCCAGTGCCCTGCTATCAATTAAAATAAACAAATAAATAAAAAAGACAGCACAAATAAATAAAATAGCACACCCGCCAGTGCCCTGCTATCAATTAAAATAAACAAACAAATAAAAAAAAGACAGCACAAATAAATAACGTAGCACACCCGCCAGTGCCCCGCTATCAATTAAAATAAACAAATAAATAAAAAAAGACAGCACAAATAAATAAAATAGCACACCCGCCAGTGCCCTGATATCAATTAAAATAAACAAATAAATAAAAAAAGACAACACAAATAAATAAAATAGCACACCTGCCAGTGCCCTGCTATCAATTAAAATAAACAAATAAATAAATAAAGACAGCACAAATAAATAAAATAGCACACCCGCCAGTGCCCTGCTATTAATTAAAAGCAAATAAATTAAAAAACACACCTGCTAATGCAACCGCTAGAGACGAAGGGATGGAAGAGGTATAGCTTTACTTCTACGTTAAGATGGAGAAATTGAGGACCTACAACAAACAAAAACAGAACATTGAAATAGAGTTAGTAAAGAAGACAATACGTAAGGAAATTAATGATTGCGGGGAGAAAAGAAAGAATCTATGTACGAAAAATATTTTTTTGCACATCCTTTGACATTAACAAACTGCATAAACAATAACAAAGATGAAAGTCTACTACCTTTGTTCAAAGTCTCAATAACCATTACATAAATAAACACTTAAACAAATGTACCACAACCAACCGTTTGATCACTTCAACAAAAAATTAAATAAAAATACATACAAAAAAAATTAAATAAACAAATGTTCTTATAATTACATTCAACACACATTTTCCCTTTTCCTTTCCCTTTCCATTTCCATTTCCAAATCCCTAGCTAAATCCATGATCCAAACATAACATTAAGGAAATATGATGGTTTCAACGTTATAGAAAGCAAAGCACATTCACATAATTTTCTTCTTCTTTTGTGCTAGCTTATCATTTTCCAAAAAAATTCAAAATATAATAAAAATGTGGGAGTGGATTTTCCAAATGATTTGAACCAACATCAATCCATATGTTATAGTTACATGAAGTTATATATCATAAAGTGAGTAATTATAAATGACAACAACTATGGCTTTGGTTATAATTCTTGCTTAACATAAATTATTTATACGTAGAAAAGTTCCTAGAATTTGAATGTTTGGTATAGATTTAACTTGATGTGATGTGGACCACACCCTATATCAATGAAGATCATTGATGATGCTAATAATGACAGCTATTAGGACATATTGGTAGTTTACCCTTTTATTGGTTGCTGGATTCAATGTGATGATAATGAAAGCATTTTATTTATTTTTACTTAAATTACTTCATTTTTGACACATGGTGGCATAGGCAGCATCAGAGCTAATTCGAAGTTATGCTAAGCCAATTCTCGAACAATATAGATTAGTTATCTTATCATCTCTCAAGTTTTAAAAGTTGACTCTTGGTACTGTGGCTGCACAATTCACAGGTTTGTTTGATTTCTGTTTGATCTTTGATGAGGAAGTCGAGAAAAAAGAAAAAAAGAAAAAAACAGACCAACCAACAACCAGACACAACACCCAGAGCAGGAATACTTATGCAGAGCAGGCATCTGATATTACTGAGACAACAAAAAGTGCTATGGAAGCATGGCCTTGACATAACACTGGCAGTGGCATCCGATAAGCCAAAAAATATCCTTAAAAAGAACATTGGCACAACAGAATTTGGGCTTCAAAGAATTCCATGCATGTTTTCTTGGGAAAACTGATGAACATTCCAACTTATAACCAAACTACAAGAGCACTGCAATGGCATCTAAATAACAGCCCCCAAATAACAGATCAAACAAAGAACAGCCACCCACAAATCAAACAGAGAACAACACAGATAAATAGGGAAACCAGAATAAGCCGA